GTAATTCAGAAAAAAAAATTGTTTTAAAAATATGTATTTGTGACAAAATAAACATGAGTCCCCGCCCAAATTTACGTCGATGGAATCGAGTGACCTTTCACTGAAAGCAAATCGGAATTTGACAAAAAATACGTAACAATATAAACACGTGTCATCCTATGCTAACCTTGAAGCAAGAAAGTTGTTTTGGATGACATTACGACCAAGCCCAACGAGTTTGAACTTCTTGTGGCCGAAGAAAGCGGCCTACTATCGATTGCTTACTATAACTGACAGAAATAATACGAAATATATTTAACGCTTTGATAATGGCTACTGAAATTACATTTCTTTCGTTTGCCCTTAAAACTTTTCTGAAGGGCTATAAAACCAGTTGTGCCCTGAAAGTATCGACTTTGGCTGGAACCTGACGGTGAGTGAGACACAGAGGCAGATCATAAGCACACGAGAACCAAGTAACTTTCATTTGAATCATACGACGTCCGAACACAGTATACATTATTCAAGAAAGAAAGAAAGGAAACACGAAGAGAAATCAATTACATTTCACTTTTCACGGCTGTGAAAATGTTGAATGCGGTCTTTGTGAGGCCATAAAGTCTGCTGGGTGGTCGAGAACGTCGCTGCTTCGCTGAATTCAAATTCCAATCAAAGCAGAGTGACGTGAGTGAAAAGTCGTCTATTTGTGTTTGCTACGAATTTTCTATAAATTGCTTCTGAAATTTTCAATAACCGACACAATAAAAAATAAATGGCAAATTATTTTCATGTTAATTTCCCAAAAAAACACCGCTTGTGGCCCGCACTGCTAGCCACAAGGCAGTATATCCCGATAACCACTCCTACAGAAGTGCACTTTAATTAAATATTTATACATTATGATACTTGATCTGACGCCATAGTTGAGATCAGAAGACTTAACTCCTTTACAGAAATGTCGTAAATTTCCTTGGGAGGGAAAAGACCAACACGTAAGATATTGTTAGTAACAAACCCAGGTTATAAAAATCGCTAACAATATAGTGGTTACAATTACACTGTCTTTCACGTAACCTTGTCGTCCAGTGTTTCGTGATTTTCCATACGCATCACTACTAGCCCTTTAGCTTTGTGACTGTCTCTAAATTCGAGAATCCCAACTTCTCGTGCTCTCATACAAGTAACGAAGAAAGGAGAACCTCTACTATGAATGTCTGTGAAAATCCGTCTAAGGATTCTCGAGTTACGAGATGACAAAAAAAAATCCCTTTGTCTCGAAAACCGTTAAGACTAACGAAAAAAAATGGTACTGGGAACAAAATACTTTATACTTTTCCGTACGACTACTGTTAGAAACATCCCACCAGTGTAAATATTTAACGAATTACAAAAATTAGGAGTGTAGATGAATTATAGAAGTGGCCACCATCATATTTCACAATAATCGATTCAGCGGTTCTCGAACTGCTTCGTGTGGAAAAACATGGCGGAACAAACACGCCCGAACACACTCGTAATTCACAATTCGAGAATGTATTATTAATTTCGTACCATTCTTAGACCTATTACATATACAAAATTATAGTATATTAAAAATAGTCGCTTCAATATTTCATTCTGTAGTGACAAAACAGATACAACAAACGTTATCCACATCGCACGATTTAATCATCTTTTATAAGACGCGATAAATGAAAAATATCCCTCTTTAATATTTTTCTTTTCTCCGTGTAGGCTACTTTTGTTCGGAGCTGTTTCTCGCAATATATTAATCATCTGTCACGCTTGAAAGTCGACAGAATACGTGCAAAATACTTCAAGAGCAACGAGAAACAGTACAATGTGCGTATGTACCATTGATTTCGACTGTAAACAATTTGTGGTACGTCTTGTCGCTGAATACACACCGAACTGTCGTGACCACTTTCTGGATTTTTGAACCACGTAGTCTTCTCGATTACTACCGTTCTGGAAGAACATCTTCCGAGCATATTCCTCCGAAACGTCGGTATACAACCGAAGACTGCATGCTTCAACAATCCAGAAGGCCGCCATCTAAACCCACATCATCGTGGAAACCTCAAAACCTGAACAGAAAATTTACCTCCACGGAAGAAAGTTCGGAAATGCACGCACACCAAAACAATTCTGACGTCAAAGTTAGGGGATTCCGTTTCGTGGGCGCCCGTCTGGCTGGATGATGTCATCAGTGGGGCTCCTTTACGTTATGAGGGCGCCTGTCTGACTGCGGGTTTCCCCACCCAGTCCCTTCAAAACCGCAAGTCGGTCTTCAATATAAGGTGCCAGTTACAGTACGACTTCAACCTTGATGTAATGTGAAAATGGACCAAGAAACTACGTAAAATCTCTTTACCTAATAAATAATCCAGGTTGGAACATAGGTTGGCCTCACCAATCAAACTTCCATGTGAGATTTTAATTCTAACGTCAGTTAAGACGTCGATGGAACGCCATTTCGAGTTGTACTCGTACACGAAAGATAGGAAGTCCCTGTGACGTAGGCAACCTGACAGGGCAGTGAGGCGCGCAAGCGTTAACTCCCTTGTTCCTGAGTGGAGACACTGCGGTGTTTAGTAAAAAGATATTTCTCACAAGCCTATGTGTCCTTATTCATCTATTTGTTACAACTTCTAATTTTTCAAAGTTTTTTCCAGTAAAGTGTACATCAAATGAGAACAAGAACAGT